TCTATCCGTGACACGCTCGCAGATCGTGGCATTAGTGGCAGACTGGCCCTCAGCGCGGCCTCTATCCGTGACACGGCAGGAGTGGCACTTTCTCGACTGCACAGCGCAGAGGCCAGCGCAGGCCTCAGCGCGGCCTCTATCCGTGACACGCTCGCAGATCGTGGCAGGAGTGGCACTTTCTCGACACCACAGGGGGTGCGCAGAGGGTGGTCCCTCAGCGCGGCCTCTATCCGTGACACGCTCGCAGATCGTGGCAGGAGTGGCACTTTCTCGACACCACAGGGGGTGCGCAGAGGGTGGTCCCTCAGCGCGGCCTCTATCCGTGACACGCTCGCAGATCGTGGCAGGAGTGGCACTTTCTCGACACCACAGGGGGTGCGCAGAGGGTGGTCCCTCAGCGCGGCCTCTATCCGTGACACGCTCGCAGATCGTGGCAGGAGTGGCACTTTCTCGACACCACAGGGGGTGCGCAGAGGGTGGTCCCCCAGCGCGGCCTCTATCCGTGACACGCTCGCAGATCGTGGCAGGAGTGGCACTTTCTCGACACCACAGGGGGTGCGCAGAGGGTGGTCCCCCAGCGCGGCCTCTATCCGTGACACGCTCGCAGATCGTGGCAGGAGTGGCACTTTCTCGACACCACAGGGGGTGCGCAGAGGGTGGTCCCCCAGCGCGGCCTCTATCCGTGACACGCTCGCAGATCGTGGCAGGAGTGGCACTTTCTCGACACCACAGGGGGTGCGCAGAGGGTGGTCCCCCAGCGCGGCCTCTATCCGTGACACGCTCGCAGATCGTGGCAGGAGTGGCACTTTCTCGACACCACAGGGGGTGCGCAGAGGGTGGTCCCTCAGCGCGGCCTCTATCCGTGACACGCTCGCAGAGCGTGGCAGGAGCGGCACGTTCTCGACACCACAGGGGGTGCGCAGAGGGTGGTCCCTCAGCGCGGCCTCTATCCGTGACACGCTCGCAGATCGTGGCAGGAGTGGCACTTCTCGACACCACAGGGGGTGCGCAGAGGGTGGTCCCTCAGCGCGGCCTCTATCCGTGACACGCTCGCAGATCGTGGCAGTGGCACTTTCTCGGACACCACAGGGGGCGCACCCCCAGCGCGGCCTCTATCCGTGACACGATCGTGGCACCACAGGGGGTGCGCAGAGGGTGGCGCGGCCTCTAGACCGTCCGTGCGCAGAGGGTGGTCAGCGCGGTGACACGCTCGCAGATCGTGGCAGGAGTCACTTTCTCGACACCACAGGGGGTGCGCAGAGGGTGGTCCCTCTATCCGTGACACGCTCGCAGATCGCGGCAGGAGTGGCACTTTCTCGACACCACAGGGGGTGCGCAGAGGGTGGTCCCTCAGCGCGGCCTCTATCCGTGACACGCTCGCAGATCGTGGCAGGAGTGGCACTTTCTCGACACCACAGGGGGTGCGCAGAGGGTGGTCCCTCAGCGCGGCCTCTATCCGTGACACGCTCGCAGATCGTGGCAGGAGTGGCACTTTCTCGACACCACAGGGGGTGCGCAGAGGGTGGTCCCTCAGCGCGGCCTCTATCCGTGACACGCTCGCAGATCGTGGCAGGAGTGGCACTTTCTCGACACCACAGGGGGTGCGCAGGGGTGGTCCCTCAGCGCGGCCTCTATCCGTGACACGCTCGCAGATCGTGGCAGAGTGGCACTTTCTCGACACCACAGGGGGTGCGCAGAGGGTGGTCCCCAGCGCGGCCTCTATCCGTGACACGCTCGCAGATCGTGGCAGGAGTGGCACTTTCTCGACACCACAGGGGGTGCGCAGAGGGTGGTCCCCCCAAGCGCGGCAGCTATCCGCGCGGCCTCTAACACGCTCGCAGATCGTGGCAGGAGTGGCACTTTCTCGACACCACAGGGGGTGCGCAGAGGGTGGTCCCTCAGCGCGGCCTCTATCCGTGACACGCTCGCAGATCGTGGCAGGAGTGGCACTTTCTCGACACCACAGGGGGTGCGCAGAGGGTGGTCCCTCAGCGCGGCCTCTATCCGTGACACGCTCGCAGATCGTGGCAGGAGTGGCACTTTCTCGACACCACAGGGGGTGCGCAGAGGGTGGTCCCTCAGCGCGGCCTCTATCCGTGACACGCTCGCAGATCGTGGCAGGAGTGGCACTTTCTCGACACCACAGGGGGTGCGCAGAGGGTGGTCCCCAGCGCGGCCTCTATCCGTGACACGCTCGACAGATCGTGGCAGGAGTGGCAGGAGTGGCACTTTCTCGACACCACAGGGGGTGCGCAGAGGGTGGTCCCTCAGCGCGGCCTCTATCCGTGACACGCTCGCAGATCGTGGCAGGAGTGGCACTTTCTCGACACCACAGGGGGTGCGCAGAGGGTGGTCCCTCAGCGCGGCCTCTATCCGTGACACGCTCGCAGATCGTGGCAGGAGTGGCACTTTCTCGACACCACAGGGGGTGCGCAGAGGGTGGTCCCTCAGCGCGGCCTCTATCCGTGACACGCTCGCAGATCGTGGCAGGAGTGGCACTTCTCGACACCACAGGGGGTGCGCAGAGGGTGGTCCCCAGCGCGGCCTCTATCCGTGACACGATCGCAGATCGTGGCAAGAGTGGCCTTTTCTCGGCACCACAGGGGGTGCGCAGAGGGTGGCCCCCCAGCGCGGCCTCTATCCGTGACACGCTCGCAGATCGTGGCAGGACACCACAGGGGGTGCGCAGAGGGTGGTCCCCCAGCGCGACCTTATCCGTGACACGCTCGCAGATCGTGGCAGAGTGGCACTTTCTCGACACCACAGGGGGTGCGCAGAGGGTGGTCCCTCAGCGCGGCCTCTATCCGTGACACGCTCGCAGATCGTGGCAGGAGTGGCACTTTCTCGACACCACAGGGGGTGCGCAGAGGGTGGTCCCTCAGCGCGGCCTCTATCCGTGACACGCTCGCAGATCGTGGCAGGAGTGGCACTTTCTCGACACCACAGGGGGTGCGCAGAGGGTGGTCCCTCAGCGCGGCCTCTATCCGTGACACGCTCGCAGATCGTGGCAGGAGTGGCACTTTCTCGACACCACAGGGGGTGCGCAGAGGGTGGTCGCGCGGCCTCTATCCGTGACACGCTCGCAGATCGTGGCAGGAGTGGCACTTTCTCGACACCACAGGGGGTGCGCAGAGGGTGGTCCCTCAGCGCGGCCTCTATCCGTGACACGCTCGCAGATCGTGGCAGGAGTGGCATTTTCTCGACACCACAGGGGGTGCGCAGAGGGTGGTCCCTCAGCGCGGCCTCTATCCGTGACACGCTCGCAGAGCGTGGCAGGCGCGGCACGTTCTCGACACCACAGGGGGTGCGCAGAGGTTGGTCCCTCAGCGCGGCCTCTATCCGTGAAACACTCGCAGAGCGTGGCAGGCGCGGCACTTTCTCGACACCACAGGGGGTGCGGAGAGGGTGGTCCCCCAGCGCGGCCTCTATTCGTGACACGCTCGCAGATCGTGGCAGGAGTGGCACTTTCTCGACACCACAGGGGTGCGCAGAGGGTGGTTCCTCAGCGCGGCCTCTATCCGTGACACGCTCGCAGAGCGTGGCAGGCGTGGCACGTTCTGGACGCCACATGGGGTTGCGCAGAGGGTGGTCCCTCAGCGCGGCCGCTATGCACGACGGTCGTCCAGGGCATAGCAGGCGTGGCACTTTCTCGACGTCATAGGGGGTGCGCAGGGGGTGGTCCCTCAGCGCGGCCGCTATGCACGACGGTCGTCCAGGGCATAGCAGGCGCGGCATTTTCTCGACACCATAGAGGCTGCGCAGGGGGTGGTCCCTCACCGCGGCCGCTGCACGACGGTCGCCCAGGGCATAGCAGGCGTGGTACTTTCTCGACACCGTAGAGGGTGCGCAGGGGGTGGTCCCTGACCGCGGCCGCTGGCTGGCTCGAATCTGTCCTCGATGGAGGATAGAAGGCTAGGAAGAGGGAGGAGGTTCAAGCAATATGGCGTTGGATGACACATAGGGGATCATTCGCGACGAGGGCTGAGAACGCCGAATTGCGCATATTTCATAAACTTAAGCAAACACATACTATTTAAATTAAGTATGTGGGATTCCTCGGTAGCGTAATTGAGAGGGATGGTGGGGAGCGGGTCGGCATGATGTCGGCATGGTGTCGGGTTGGCCCCCAGTCGCCTGGGGGAGGGGGTGTGTATTAATATGGAACAGTGATAAATCCTTCCCCGAAGTGGAAGAAAGGGGGTTGGAAGAGGAAACTCCCTAGACCAACTACGCTCAGAGGGCTGGTGGGATTCGTCAAAGAGTCGTGTCACCGCGCTTGGCCTGTGGATCAGGAGCCTCGGGGATGGTTACGTGGGTTTCTTGGGTTGCCTCGCAGGGGCCGTTTGGAGGGTTCTTGGGGGCCTTTGATTGGCTTGGGGGGGCCTCTCGGGTGCCTCTTGGGTATCTCTTGGAAGCCTCTCGGGTGCCTCTTGGGGGCGCCTCGGGGGTCACCGGGGGGCTCTTGGGGCCATCGCGGAGGGAAAGACTCGAGATGTCAGTTCGTATTGCTCATCTTGGGGCCCTCCTGGGCCGTCGCAGGGGCCCCCCAGGCTGTCTTGGGGCCGTCGTAGGCCCTCTTGGGGCTCTGTTGGATAGTCTTGGGTCCCTCTTGGGACTGTTTTGGGCGTTCCTTGAGCCGCAGTGGACGCTGAATAGCGCGCATCTCGTTAGTGTACCTTTTCCCACGGGAATGGGGACGATGTTTGCCTCTTTGGGGCCCTCTCGGCGGCCCTCTCGGAGCACTCTGGGCCGTCTCGGGGGCCTCGTAGGCCCTCCTGAAGCCACCTTGGACCGTCGTGGGATTAGCCTGGGCCGTGTCGACGCTTTCTTGGATTGTCTCGGCGCTCGTTGGGCTATTTGTCGGATCTTCGGAGGCTCCAGAGAGCCCCCGGTGAGCTCATACGACCCCCTAATGCGATGTTTGGCCCGAGGCGAGGGGGAAAGCGGGAAGGGGACATCGGCTTCCTCACCCCCAGCAAGCGGGGACTGGCGTGCTACAGCAAGTACTTCAAGAAAAGCCTTCTGCCCAAACTCTATGGGAAGGAGACGATCCTGGAGCTCTTGGCCCTGGTGAAGGACTCCAGGCCGCCTCTACGGTGACAGAGCAGGCGGGGCCGGAGGATCGCACCGCATCCTCTATGCGCCAGCTATGCGGCGCCATCCAGAGCCCGACCTTCTCCATCCCGACGTCGCCGATGCATCGGCGATGCGGTGCGACCCTCCTGTCCCGCCTGCGCCGGCCCCGCCTGGCCGTCCTCCCGAGGACACCGTTGGCATCGACGATGACAGCGGCGTGGTGGCGCTGAAGGTTGGCGAGGACAAGACCTTCGACTTCTTCGTGAAGAAGCAGGAGCTGAGATCCAAAGAGCCTAATCAAAGGAGGAACGTTCGGACGTCAGCGGCGAGCTTTTCCGCTGGCGCTGGGCCGCCCCCACGCGCCCCTGACCAGCGCGCGAAGATTGCCGAGGGGCCAGGGGTGTTGGGAGCGGGCCTGCATTTCCCCTCCCCACGCTTCTCCTTCCTCTCTCTGTTCTCTCTGCTGCCCTCCTCGGGGAGTTTGGAGGTCGTCCAGGGCATGTGTGGTCTCTTCCCTCTTCCCTTTCCCGCCTCTCATCCATCGTTCCCGCTTCCTCGCCTTGCCTCGCTCCTGTCCTCCTGTTGGTCCTCCTCGTGTCGCCCGCTCCGTGCTTTCCCTCGCCTGCGTATGGGTTCCCCCTTTTTCTGGCCGGATCGACCCATCTTCCACATCAATGTCCCCTCGCCCGGCTACTCGGTTGGTGAGGGCGAGCGGCCGAGGGCCTCGACCAGCAGCCGACAAGGCCCGCAGCGACAGCGACAGGCGGAGGAGGAGGAGGAGGAGGAATGACGGTGAAGCGACCAATCCAACATGCATCAACGACGCTACAAACACCTTCCCGTCCCAATCCCCCTCTTGATTATAGGGCGGGCACGCATTATTCTTCAGTGCGCGAGCGCCCCTTTTGGAAGACGGCCGCCCTGTGGGCCTGCAATTCCGGCGAGAGCTCCGTTTTGAAACAAGTGTTTCAAGGAGGTGCCCAGCGACAGCCCCGCTTTGAAAGAGTGTCACCCTCCATCTGTGATGCTACTGGTTTTGATCACTTGTCAGAACATGTCACGAAGACTCAAGCGAGGGCTCCGTATCGAAAGGAGGCACCCCCATCCGTGGTACCCCTGCACATATTTTCCTATGTGGTAGTGAATGCAAAGGCAATGGAAACCATTTTGAACATTGCTCGCCCTTCAGGAGCGTAAGTGCTTTTCTTTCGGGTCCCGATTGGCTTTGTTTGAACTGACTGTGTGCGGCGCCAAGGTGAGAGCCCCATTTTGAAGACGGCTCGCCCTCCATCCGTGAAATTGTTTGATGTGCTTAAAATCAAGACGTTTGTGCGCGTCGCCAAAGCGAGAACCCAATGTTGAAGTCACGTCGCCCTCCATCCGTACATCTATTGGTAACTTCAGGCTTCAAATTCGTAAACGGTGAGGAACTCTCAGGCGATACGCCCGCCCCGCCTTATCGACACGTCGGGTGGCGCGACTGGAGAGACTTCTCTATAAGGAGAAGAGATGCAGCAGTTGTTTTCCCGCTGAGGAGGAGTCTCGCCGCGAGAGGCAGCGCAGGATAGACGCGGGCGACGAGACCGCGCGGCTGGACTTTTCGGCGTTGCGGGCGCAGAAAGAGATAGCCGAGCAACAGGTTGCCGGCGGCTCGCAAACGGTTGACAGGGCGAGTCGTCATGAAGGAAAGGGGTCCTGAGGGAAGCGGATCTTGAAGTTTTTCGCCGTTTCGGACCTCCTTGGGCTCTCCACCTGCCCTGGAGGTGTCAGAAAACCCCTCGCGACGAAAAGGTCCTGTTTGCCTAAGGACCCGCTCGCTTCATTTGAAGCGAAATGGGTTGCCCATCAGGAGCATCGGCTCCGTACGTCGCCGTTTTGGTTGCTCCGTTGGTGTTTCCAAAGGCTTTCGTCTCCACGGCTGGACGCCCCTCAGACATCTTGCCAGGAAACACCCCAGGAAGGGCATAGGGAATGGTTTTCAGCCGTTGTTGGTCGGGGGCAGGGCGACAGATAGTTTTCAGGACGGCAAAAGACACAGACAAAAATGATTCTCGATTTTCCACTCACTCATGGAAAATATGGGAAGTGGAAAGGGAATACGACAATCGACACACTAGTGACAAATAGTGGGAGGCCCTGGGATTTCAATATGTATATCCATTCAAATAAATCCGTAAGGAGCTTTGCGTGTTGGCGAGGGCCCCTGGCTCCCCGAGCCACCCCAGGGAGCCCGAAACGGCACCGGAGGGTCCGCGGAGGGCCCGGAAACAGCTCCGGAGCTCCCCAGAAGACAGCCGAGACGGCCGAAGGAGGCCCCGAGACGACCAACGACAGCCCCGAGTTGACCCAAGACGGTCTTCCGACGGCCCAAGATGTTCCCAAGACAGCCCCATAACACGCCAAGGCGCCCCGATACAGCTCCGAAGGGACACCCTACAGGGCGCCAAGAGGCCGAAATCGTAGATTTCTGGTGTGGGTTTTCTACGGATTCTGAGATTATCGCCCTCTCGACCTGGACACCCAAGGCGGCCCAAGAGCCCTCCAAAAACGCCCCGAGACGGCCCAAGAGGCGCCCAAGAGAGCCCAAAGACAGCCCAGGAGGGGCCAAGAGGTCCCCAAGACGGCCCCCCAAACCCCCAAGAGAACCCCAAGATGGCCCAACACACCCGAGACAGGCCAGGAGGGCCCCTGAGTTTGCCCACGAGGGCGCCAAAATGGCCGAAGATGCTGTCAAGGCGGCCCCAGAGGGCCCAAGACGCCCCAAAAGAGCCCCACGAGGACCCCCAAGAGGGCCTGAAGAGGCGAGAATCGTCGATTTCACGTTGGTTGTCGATCGCACGCCGCAGCTTGCTGGCATTTGCGCACCACAGACAGAAGCGCGCGTCGGCAAACTTCGACTCACGCAGCTCCGTCGACTTAATCCACGGGCCCACACTGGTGTGTGTGTGTATATATATACACACACACGCACAAACCCCTGGGCACGAAGTGGGGGGGCCCAGGAGGAGGCCCCCGAAACTCCATGGCGGGACCGGGCCGCCAGGGACGCCCCTAGGCGGCCCAAGACAGCCCCAACACGCTTGAAAAGTACAGCGAGAGGCCTCCAAGAGGCCTCCAGTCGCGGAAATATCGTTCTAACACGCCCAAGATGGCCTACGGATGGCCCAACAGGCTTCCAACACGGCCCAAGGGGCCCCCAAGAGCACTCCCCGAAGGGCCCCAAGAAGCCAAAATCAAAGATTTTCGTTCGGTCTTTGGTGCATTCTACCTTTTCTGTCTGTTCGGCTTCCCGACGCACCAAGACGCTCCAGGACATCCACAAACCGTCCAAACAGGCTTCCGCCGGGGCGCCGAGACGGCCCAGGGCCGCCCCCAGACGGCCCACGAAAACCCCAACACCGCTAAAATGGGCCTCACGAGGCCTCCAAGAGGCCCCCCGAAACGTGGACATCTCGTTCGAAACGCCCCCCCGATGGCCTCAAGATGGCCCACAAGGCTTCCAACACGGCACACGGCGTACCGCAGAGCCCACCCAGAAGGGCCACAGGAAGCCAAAATCATTCATGTTTTTTTCGGTTTGGGGTTTTGGGTACGTTTCAGCGTTTCTGCCTGTTCAGTTTCCCAACGTCCCAAGCTGCTCCCGGACACCCACATATCGCCCCAACACCCAACAGGCCCCCACGAGAGCGCCGAGACGGCCCAGGGCCGCCCCCAGACGGCCCAAGACAGCCCCAACACAGTTGAAAAGGGCCGCGAGAGGCCTCCAAGAGTTACCACCGAACTATCGTTCTAACACGCCCAAGATGGCCTCCGGATGGCCCAAAAGGTTTCCAACTTGGCCAACGGGGTCCTCAAGAGCACACCCGAAAGGGCCCCAAGAAGCCAAAACTATAGATGTTCCTCCGGTTTTGATGCATTTTATACATTTTACCTTTTCTGGTTGTGCTGCTTCCCGACGCTCCAAGGCGATCCAGGACATCCAGAAATCGTCCAAACAGGCTTCCACCGGGCCGCCGAGACGGCCCAGGGCCGCTCCCAGACGGCCCAAGAAAACCCCAACACTGTTGAAAAGGGCCTCACGAGGCCTCCAAGAGGCACCGAAACGCCGACAGATTGCTCGAACACGCCCAGGGTGGCCTCCAGATTGCCCACAAGGCTTCCAACACGGCCCAAGGGGTCCCCAAGAGCTCTCAAAAGGGCCCCAAGAAGCCAAAATCATTGATTTCGTTAGGTTTTTGCATGTTTTGGCGTTGCTGCCTGTTCGGCTTCCCAACGCTCCCAGTCGGTCTCGGACACCCAGATATCGCCCCAACAGGCCCCCACGGGGGGGCCAAGACGGCCCAGGGACGCCCTGCCGCGGGGCCCGGGACGGGGCCTTTGGACGGGGGGGCCCGTGGGCCCTGCCGTGGCGCCAGGGGCTCTTAAAAATCGCCCGAAGACGGCCCTGGATCGCCAGAAATGGCGTTTCCAAACCGCGACAACGACCAATGACGACCCGAGATCACGATAGACGTAGCCCATGACTGACCAAGAGGCCTCCAAGAGGCCCCAGAGGCCTCCAAGATGCCGCCCAAGGAGCCCCAGGAATCACACTGAACTTATTTTCCCGTGTTTTTTTTGTGGTGGGGGGGATTTTCGAGTTCTCGCCTTTTCAGCTTTCCGACGCTCCACGACGGCCCAAGAGGTCCCAGTGTCCGCTCCAAGACAGCCCCGGAGGACTCGAAGACGGCCACAAGACAGCCCACGAGGGCCCCAAGACGGCGCCAGAGGCGCCCAAGACGGCCCGAGACCCAACACGGCCTCAAGAGGGAGCCAAGAGGAGTAAAACGAACCGAGAATCCGGGCCTTCCATCCCGAGAGGCTCTCAGAAGGCCCCGAGAAGCCCCCAACAGGCCACAAGAGGCCCCAAGAAGCGCCCCAGGGGGCCGAAGAGGTTCCAAGAGGCCTCCCAAGAAGTACCCAATAGGCAAAAATCATTATCTTGTCATAGGTGTTTGA